TACGTGCACCGCTTTAGGGGAACCCAGAGATATCAAGCGCGTGTTGTATCTTCAGCTGGTGGGCAGCCACTTAGTGAAGCAGCAGTAGGCGATACAATCCCAGAAGCATTGAACAAGCTGTTGTTGGAGGTTCGGCAACTTCGAGGTCCACCACCGGGGTATCATTGCCCAGGTGATCTTCAAGTAGGATCGGATATTCAGTCTTGAAAGTCTGTACCACCAGAAGGGATGATCGAGTGGGGCTACTGCGTATCTAGCGAGGTTTGAAGACAGCATCAGATGGCACTGCAGTGCCAGTTGGCGGTGTTCTCCAGGTCATATAGGATGCGCGGATGGTCTCCAACCGTTCATCGCATTTGCGAAGCATTTGACATGTCTAGATCAACGATGACAGCGGTAATCGCCTCATACTCTTGCGTGATTGTCGTGCTTTTTACGGAAGTTGTACTCTGCTGGTGTGCGAAGTACCACTGCACGACGAGAGGGGCCTGTCCGGGTTCGATGCGCCTCTTACAGTGTCTAATTCTGGAATGAACAATTTTGGCGGTCCGAGGCTGAGTTCCGGTCTCGCTCGTAGTTCTGATTGAGGCGAGGAGTTGATGTTGGCCTTGTGCGACGTCGTGTTGGTGGCAGGACGGGATAGTGCAAAAGGCACACCGTTGTTGCGCGCCCCGCCTAGGCCCCGCCGTGTCACCCAGGTAGCTCCGCGCCGCTTCATTGACCACCAACCCCAACACCAACACCAACAGTAGCTCGGAAGCTTGATGACAATCGCTTCGAAGCAGTCATGGGGTCAAAGTCTCCAGAAGATCATCGCCAAGGCCCAGACGGTGAGCGCCATCGAAGCGATTCCGAGAAAACATATGCTGACAGCTGACAGGGTCGTCGGCGGACGCTGCAATCGCTATCGTCAACCCTCCCAAGCCAGCAGCCGCTAGTGGGCTGCTTCCAGGCGTACTCGAAGGGCAGGATGAAGACGGAGACGACGACGATGACATCGCGAAGCTTGGAGCTGACGTGAAGAACAACGATGGTGAGCTGGGATCACGTGACTTCGATCTGGAGCTGACAATGGGAAGGCGCGAAGAAGAAAAGAAAGCGCAACAAGAAGAAGAGCAAGAAAGTGTCACCGACACAGCAGGCAGCGCCTCCAAGGGTGCCGCTAGCGGATCTGTACCAGAGCCGAAAATACCCGCAAGGTCAGACTGTGGAGTATGCCATCAAGGACGAGAACCTCCAGCGCACCACGGGTGGAGAGCTTCGCCATCTGGCCGCGTTGGACAACATGGACGACGGCTTCCTGGAAGACTATCGCAAAGCTGCCGAGGTACACCGCCAGGTGCGCCAATACGTACAAACCATCGCAAAACCCGGCGTGTCTCTCACCCACATTGCCGGAGAGATTGACGATAGTGTTCGCGCACTCGTCGGCCACCAGGGTCTTGAGACTGGAGACGGTCTGAAAGCTGGTCTCGCCTTTCCAACGGGGTTGTGCTTGAACAACATCGGAGCACATTGGACTCCGAATGCTGGAGCGAAGGAAGTCTTCCTTCAACACGACGACGTCCTCAAAGTCGATTTCGGTGTGCATGTCAACGGCAGGATCGTGGATAGCGCTTTCACTGTGGCTGCCAATCCGATCTATGACAACCTGCTGGCTTCTGTAAAGGCGGCTACCAATACAGGCTTGAAAGAAGCAGGTATTGACGCAAGGATTGATCACATCAGCGAGATGATCCAAGAGGTGATGGAAAGTTACGAAGTGGAACTGAAAGGGAAGACCATCCCCGTGAAGGCGGTGCGCAACATCACCGGCCATAACATTCTACGTTACCGCATCCATGGCGACAAACAAGTTCCTTTCGTCAAGACAAAGACTGCCCAGCGTATGGAAGAAGGCGACATCTTCGCGATCGAAACCTTCGGTAGCACCGGCAAAGCATATCTTCATGACGATGTTGGTGTCTACGGCTACGGACGTAACGAAGGCGTCAGCGCTACAGGCCTCCACCACTCGTCTGCAAAGTCGTTGTTGAAGACCATCGATGAGAACTTTGGGACTCTGGTCTTTGCTCGCCGTCAGCTTGAACGCTTGCCGGGTGTGGAGAAATACCACCTCGGTATGCGAACGCTGGTCAACAGCGGTATCGTTCAGGCATATGCGCCGCTGGTGGATATTCCTGGTTCGTTCATCGCGCAGTTTGAGCATGTAAGTGATTTCCCGTGGGAATCTGTAGATCATGACTGACTCGATACCTTACAGACTGTTTTGCTCAGGCCCAACTGCAAAGAGGTTGTCTCTCGGGGTGACGACTACTAGATAACAACTCTTCACCGAGTTGTACTAGACTTCAACAGTCAGTATAAGAGTTCTCAGATAAGACGATTCAACACGTCTCGGGTTTTGTATCCTTACATGATCAGCGACACGCATCACACTCCTTTCATACCTAGAGAATCACGGTATGCTTCTGCGCAAGATGTTTACTCTAGCGTAAACCAAATAGCACGCCCTCATTCTCGCAAGATCCTTTGAAGGGCTACACAGTCATGTCTCGCTCATACTCACCCTCCAATCGTCTCCTCGCTTGACGTTCTATGCATCTGATCAAACCACCGTGTAGCACTGTGATCATCGTTGTTACCTTCGCACGAGAAGGACAGAGTAGGCGTGTAGATTGTAGACATTTCATTTGGAAGCCAACGAGCTGTTATGCGGTGCTCATACCCCCTGTCATGAGTCAATAGGGTGACTACTTGTTGAGTCACTACTAACACAAAAGGAATATCTCTTCTATCAAACACACTTGTACACCACCATGCCTTTCCAAGCACTGAAGCCCTTGTCCAGACAGCAAGCTGCCGCTGCTGGATACGTTTCCCTCACGATGCGCCGTGGAGAGCCTATCCAACAAACAGCAGACTACTTCGACCACAATTCCAAGCAGCCAACCTCGATACCTACATTCATTTACAGATATCGCCTCACCGAGATAGAAGATATACTGGTACCCAAATCACGAGGAGGACTAAAGAGCTCCATACGAGGCTATCGTGCCAGCCTTCGGTATCGCAAACAGGTGAAGGCACTCAGGGATTTACTACATTGGCTAGGTAATTTAGAGATACCAGTCCATTTCATAGTTTCGCTAATAGCCACTGACAGTACGACTGTAGGTGGACAAGACTGGACGGGAGAATGGGCGGATATCAGGAGTGATGTTCGTTTGGAATTCACGGTGACGGAAAACTGCAAAGACGGCATAGTCTATCCGATTCAGGAATTGAGGAAGGACGTGGACTTTACGCGCGACCGAAGGGTCTGCTATGTAAACAGGCAATTTTTTGATGCCCTAGGTCCTGCAATAGCTGTATAAAGGGCTTTCGTTTGGGTTTCTCTGCGGTCTTTCAGGTCGTTCTTTGAACTGTAAAGACCACTATGGATGGCCGTGACCACTCATCTTAATGTGACTACATGTGATTGGTCTGACTCTGTTTCCAGCTAGTGATGACTGTGGGCGGAGTCATAGTGACTTCAAGGGACGGTTTTCGTTTTGATGAAAATACTTGAGCACCATCAACTACTACCGCGAAAAGGTTATTTCACGGATTTCCTTCAAGCGTAGCACCAAAGCCATGGAATACTTCTCCGGAGTCATGCGCTTCCTGCATAAAAGCAACAAGACCCCTAAACCAAAGGAAACCATTCGCTTCGAAGTTAAACTCTTGGAGCTCCGATCTTTCGTAGACTCCTACGTTCCCAAGGCGAAAGATTCCCACTCCCCCGAAGCGGAAGATTCCCACGCCCCCGAAGCGGAAGATTCCCACGCCCCCGAGGCGAAAGATTCGCCGCAGCGCTCTGCAAAGGATACGCGTAGGGTGCAGGTGAAAACGGACTTGGAGAAGATGAGTAAGTAGCAGACGCGGAGAATAAGCTTTGGAACCAAGAATATTAATACAAGTGCTGCTAGTGAAAAACGGCGCTGAGATTAGTCGTTTCGGCAAGAAACGAGTTGTCGTGCGGTTTGAACAGGTCGGAAGGAACGGATATACTACATTGGGCCTAATCCGGCCGGACTTTTGGCCGTCCAGGAGGATAAACCTACGGCAAGGAGGCTTTAAATGCAGCCTTAGCATGGATGCCGTGAGGGAACTCGAAAAGGATATCGAAGAATGGAAGAGGTCTCGGAAATCATAGTAAGACGGGGCAGTTACTCAATTGGCCGATTCTGACGTATTTCTAGGTATGAACAGGATGGCATGGGTGTGACACATTTAGAAGGACAGATATGAGAAACTGGAATAGACCAAATGCAGGATGTTTACTTTCATCAGGGAGGAATCGGGATACTTCATTCGTAAGACGACCTTTGGTAGTGATAGCTTGAAGATGTGAATGTATACGCCACTATTCTGCACGAGAAGCGCGCAGTAATTTCAAAACTCTTACTAAGTACTGTGTCATTCAACTCGTACGTCTCCGTGCATTCGAAAAAAGGTCATATCTCGCAAGATTGACTCACGTGTGACCTGGCCGGCAGGATGCGCGTACGATGTTTACTCCAGTGCAATACGGATAACACTATCTCAACACTGCACCTCATCCGCAAGTAATTGCAATATCAACACCTATAAACATCAACCCTTCTACAGTTTTCTCGTCTGATAAACCTTTATGGAAGTACCTTGCACGCTGATTGACATTGTACAAAGTAGTGAGCGGGGATGAATCGACGTGAAGCAGGACTAATGACGCCTGGAGCTGCACTGTGTCGAGACATCAATGACTGATACGCGGCATGGACTCTTGAGAAGCAGTCATAGTATGACTCGATGACGGGCTGCAATAATCGTTGGGTACATGTACTCGTCAGCCTGTGCGTATGTGAGTCGAACGAAGGTTACAGTTGGAGTCAGTCCTCATATAAATTGACAGCTTTCCTAACATTTATGCACTTCACCTCAATTCTCAAGCTCAAACCTGGAATACACACAGCAACATGGCTCCCAAGTTGAAAGATTTCGTCTCCCAGCACATGAAGATCCCACAATCAGCAACGCAAGTCCCTGCGGCTCCTCAGCCGGATGAAACACTACCCGATGGAGCGAACTCACAACGATACCCGAGTTCGCCGTCTTCGGATAATCATGCCACTATTCAAACTTCTTCGCAAACTCAGGCCGAGAACACAAGCAGCAATATCGCACCAAACGATGAAACGATCTTGAAAGTCGCGCTACCATATCTCAAGCGTGGGTTTTTGATCAGATTACTGAAATTCGAGCTACCGTTGGGTATGATCTCCAAGAAAGGATTACAAGCGAGTTGACTCACGCATATGCCAGAATACTTCGTTCAGACCAGAGGGTATGATGGAGCCGGAATGTTCATCAAGATCATCAAAGACCTAGATTCGGGCGAGCACAGGAGTGTTGTGAGCTACGAACAAACCGGAAAAGACGAGGAAGTTCTCGCGGAAGCGCTACCTCAGATCTATGCACAGGACGCGCTCGATTTGGCCGAGCTGGAGCTGGGAATTCTGAGAAATAAGGAGGTGTTGAACCCGGAAACTTCGAGACCATAAAGCAAAGATGGCAGCGAGAACTTGGACTATAGGGAACGGGTTGCGCGGGATACAGGAGATTCTACAATCTGGTCCTAAGCTGAAGTTCGATGGTAAATTGGGGCATGTCTGTCAGGCTTGAGGAAGCATGGAGTACAGACTCAGTGTCTACGAGTATCTAGTGTTTCAAATTCAATCATTGCAAATCTGAATAGCATACATCGAACAGACACTAATGCATGGTTTCGCAGTATGTACAAACGGGAGTAAACTTCCCTTCGTGTCAGTGTGCAAATACCCCGGCCAAAGGGACTACGTCGAGACTAAATAGAGATTTTGCGCCTAGAAATGCGCATCGTAAAGAAGAGAAGTGCAACGAAGTTTACAGTGTTGCGGAGCATGTTGTCAAAGATGATGTACAGTTTGTGTTGAAGAATTCGAGATCAAGGAAGACCGAGACGAAGAGAGTCCGCGACAACGAATGACTAGGCCCACGCTCGACAGAGAACCAGCACCTCGGCGTCAATACTTTATATCACCTGCACTGTTCTTATTTCAATGTCTTGTACACTCGTGAATGGGTCTTGCATTGACTCACAGGGGCATTGACTGACAAGATTGTGACTGGCTTTACGACTCACAGCCCGTTATAAAATGCAATATACATCGAGGAAGGTCGCCTTCGACAGAACACTCTGTCGATCAAGAATCTTAACTCACTACGCATCTCTCATTCACGATGTCGGATGCTGGCTCAACAACGTATATGAATAAGAGGCATGCGAAACCCGCGAAAAGCCCGACGAGACCAGCCAGCGATGATGAAAACGATAACGCAGATCAAGCAAGCAATATCTGGAAAGAATGTTCCCGATTAGAAGAGGAAATCAAGAGTGAGTACATGTCACGATACCCACGTTCCGCCCAGATATGCTGATATCAGCTTAGAAAATTACAACAAGCTCAACAAGTGTCGCGGGATCAACCAAAACGACAAAAGATCGGATCTTGAGGTCCGGCATGGACGCAAGGGAAAAGGGAAGCACTTTGCTTACCTTGAATTCGACAGTCGAGGATTTGAAGACGCCCCAATCGGAACGGGGAAGGAATGGAGAAACGCTCTCGGAGATCTGGACGCGAAGATCAAGAAAGAATTGAAGGATGCCGAGGAAGGCCAGACAGCACCAGAAGATCAAGAACCGGAGCCTCAGGATTGTGGAGGTAGCGGGTCCTGAGTGAGCCACAAATATGATGGAGTTCGGCTTTGTTGTGGGGTGCGGGCAACTCATCAGTCATTCTCATCGTTGCTGCTAGTGCTGCATGTATCAAGACCCAGTCATACATATCACGCATTGATGCCTTCGTCTTCATGTCCACTCATTGCGAACTCTGGTGGGGAAGGATGTGGTGTATCATTGTTAATAGCCAACTCACTGTACGGGCACAGTGGCACCAAATGTATAACAATATTGGAGACGGATGCTTTGCCAGGTGCATGAGAAGATGGAGGAAGTAATAAGATTGTATTCATATTTTGACGAAAGCATCACTCAGATCAAGGAAGTAAGAAAGAGCAGCGTTTGTCGAAAGGAGAGGACCATAAGATGCAGTGGAAACAGCGATCAGCCAAAGACAAGCGCTCTGACCTCAATACTCTCCCTACCGACCGCGCCCTCTGGTGTCCTTGGGTCCACGAAGGCCGTGTGCGGTACACGCCCCCACTGACCTACATTCTCGTCGCTATCGAAACACTTAAGCAACAGACGGTCCTCATTCGTCATGCCAGACCAATAATACCACTTCTGCCCCGGGTTGTATGCCACAGCCGCCGTCTGTCCATTTCGATCGGGGTAGCGATGCTCAATAGGTATTAAATCACCGTCGCGCACTGTCTGGCTATCGGCTACCGCAAGCGGACTACCCATAACGGGCCCATTGAGCGGCCGCCAGACATTAATGATGCGGTACCGTCCTTGCAGCAGTTGTTCGGCTTCGTCGGGGAGGTGGAATTTGACTCGTTCGGCGGCTGAGAAAGGTGTTTGATCGATGTGTACGCGCTGGACGGGATTGCGGTTGCCGGTCGGTCGGCGGATCGTGTGGTCGAAGAGGAGGACTCGTTGCGCGCCTTGTACGTTCTTCATGAGCAGCTCTTCCACCTCAGGGTAGTATACGCGCTTTACCGCGTTGTCGTCTGCGAAGCCATCTCTATCCAGCCCACTCTTGATGTTCTGGTATGTATCGAAGGCGTTATTGTCAAGTGTGAAGTTCTGCTCCTGGCCTCGTAGATCGTTGAGTTCGACTTTGGTCCAGTCGTCGCCCCAATTTCGTTGTGGCACGCCTGGAAGCGGTTCGACGTAGTTGTGTGGTGGTGAGCCGTCTTCGGGGGCTTTGTAGAAGGACAGCGATGCCGTGACGGGGCCGCGGGGGATGGGCAGGCCTTGGTAGTTGACGTCGGAAGAGGTTGTATCGCTGGTGGTGGGCGTAGGGTTGGAGAGTTGATGCGCGGGTGTAGGAAGAGAGGCGGTGGTCGTCATCTTGGTGACTGGTATGCTAGATTTGTTCGCAATCGAAGTGGGAATTTTATGATCGAAGGTTTGCGAAGACTAGATTGAGGGTGGTGGTAGTTGCTGGATCAGTGGCTATATGGTAAGTTGTTTGGATATGAGTTGAGATCAAGGACAGCTTCGATGCTGTTATATACACCTATGCGATTAGAAATGCTTCCTACCATGGCGACGTCAAGTCGCCCTTCATCCGCCGGGGCTTCCCCTCATTCGGCATCTCTGTGGCGATGATGCCATAGCTCTATTCCCGAGGCCAAGCTGTGTTACTAATGTTCAGCATCCAATGATCGCGGACATGCTGACAAAGTGTGCGGATTGCGTGCTAGGCGTAGCTGTTCGACAATGCGCGCTCGCTATGGCAGTCGTTGGCGTGGTGGTTTGTAACAATTGTGCGGTTTCTAAGCCAGCGTTCATTAAGGGATGAGCAACTGCCCGGAGATGGTGCGGAGATAATTCGGAGGGTCGATTGCGTCATACCTCGTGCGCACCTGTAGCGGAACGCAGCTCAACACCATCACCTTTCGTGACTCCAGCTCTCCATGGTACTCACGATGCCAATATCGCCTTGGATTCTGTTCGTTATTAGTTGTCCAACATGACCATACGCCAAAGAACTCGCATGTCTGCGTCCGCGGACCCATCAAGTGACGAACCGAAGCATTCGTGACTACTGGCGATGCGACTGAGACAGCTTTGAAGCACTGTGCTTGTGTAAACAGGACAACACTGCAACAAAAGCATCTACGCTACATCTTTGCGCATCCAGGCCCATGTCTAACTGTTGCATGTCTAGCGGCATCGGTCTCCTACTCGCTTCTAGTCGTGATTGCCGTATTCACCAGCATCAATCGATGCTAAGGCATGCTACTGGTTGGTGGCGTGCGCTTCTACTATGGGGAATGCACAATTCGATGATTGTATGCGCTCCTAGCATGCATCGACGCGTCGCGCCAGTGCCTAATGCATTGGACCCCCTCTACAAGTCCTCATGCGTCGTCTCAACGTCATCATGTTCGCATTGGACTGTGGCATCGTTCCTCCACCTTTAAACCACATAAAGGTCGCAACCACTACAAACATATCTCAACATGCTCCGACTCTTCTCAAGAAACCTTCCCACAGCTACCAAATCTATCACATCAACAGTACGAACAAATCAATTTCTCCCAAGAACTACATACCAGATTGTCAGAAATATGAGTGGCGGCAAGGCTAGCACCGATGAGCTCAAGGGCTCCAAGCTCTTTGATGTTTCTCATGTCACCGCTCTCGTCACTGGTGGAGGAACCGGTATCGGTTTGATGATCACACAAGCGCTAGTTGCAAACGGCGCGAAAGTATACATCACATCAAGACGTGACGAAGTACTGAAGAAGACGGAGGAGCTATACAGCGGCGGTGGTCCAGGCCAAATTATTCCCATCCAGGCAGATGTCAGGTAAGCAATCTCTTCTTCGATACCAGCATCGGTATCATCACTGACACTCCCCAGCGAGAAGGACGACGTAAAGCGCCTCTACGAAGAGATGTGCCAAAAAGAGCCCAAAGGTATCCAGATCCTCGTCAACAACGCCGGCATCGCCCGCGACGACAACACCAAGTTCTCCGCAAATGGCCAACCAAACATGGAAGACGCCCAAGCCATCTCCGACCATTTCCTCAAGTCGCAGCCTGAGAACTGGGCCGACACCATGAAGACCAACGTCGGAAGCATCTTCTGGATGTCGATGTACTTCCTGCCTCTCTTGGCTAAGGGCGGCAAGGTCACTCCTGGATACAGCTCTCAAGTCATCAACGTTAGCAGTATCTCAGGATACATGAAGGGAAGCAGCAGCGGCCAGTTCTCTTACGCGTCGAGCAAGGCGGCTGCAACACATCTGAGCCGCATGTTGGCCACAACGTTTGCGGGTACCAAAGTCCGCGTCAACACCATCGCGCCTGGTGTTTTCCCAAGTGAGGTATGTAACTTTGACATTGGAAAATACGTCAGTAAAGGTCGAGCTAACACGATGTAGATGACTACTGGCACTTCCGACGAGGACAACAAGAGCCGCATCGAGTCCGGCATGAGCAACCCTGCTGGCCGTCCTGGTGCTGACACTGACATGGCTGCGACTGTACTCCTGCTGGCTGGTCCAGGTGGCGTCTTCTTTAACGAGCAGGTCTTGTACCCTGACGGCGGAAGCACTCTCACACAGCCCGCAGCGCGGGCTTAGACGTTGATCTGTGAGCAGCCTCATGGATAAAAAGCGATAGACTAGATGCGATGTATCGAATGTAAATACAACGATCATGCATATCCTTGTTCCGTGTCGCGTCACCTTCGTGTTCCCTTTCAAAATCAACGCGTCTTTCGCATGTTTGCAGGTTTGCCGTGCCCCACCCCGCCGAAGCCTTCCGAAACCCCACCACAAGCGCAAACTCTTTCACGCTACACTGCGACCACCCACCCCAGCAAGCTGATGATAATCGCGAGTACTGCCCGACAGCTACAGTGTTGCAACCAAGTACTAGTACGATGCTTTTTCCCCACCCTCCATCAATCAGTACAACTGGCCTAATGGCCCAATGGCAAGGCGCTTGACTACGACTCAGTTCGATATCAAGAGATTCCAGGTTGTAAGTATTCACTCCACAAGACTCGCAAGAGTCGCCCATTCGAAATAGCACCGCTGACGCCCACAAAAGCGACCCCTGGTTAGGTCACAACACATCTTTTTTGCTGTTTTCTTGGTCGTTGTCAAGGCAGAAATTGAGGTTTTGGCGTTTGTGGGAATTTCGATTTTTTTTGGTATTGCCACTAACTAAGTTGGCTTTGCGATAGGAAGTAAGTGACGCTTAGTTAGGTGAAGGGTAGGTATGTCTGGCTATGCTTGTGTAATTGGAATGATCTGTTCCCTTTGGTGAAGTGGCTGATGTTGCGCGAACTACCCATGATACTCTCCGCAGTAATAGACAAGCAACACGAACCAACCTTACCTTATGGTTTAGATAGAAGCATACAATTATTATCATTGTCTACTAAAGTACGGCTTAAAGTCATGTTCTTTAGGCAGAGATAGCCTTTGTTCGCCTTTGGTCTGCAATGTCCAACACTGAACTGTGGCATTACGGTAAGGAAGATGACGCAGTGGGGATGGGTTTACCTAGCGGTTGGTTCGACGATTGAAATCGTATATATCCGGCGATACTGGAGTTGTGAACCGCTGTGCGAGAAGTCTGGTAGTGCGATTCAGAGTAACATCAGTGAATTGCTCTTTCTATAGCAATAGTTGCAACGATTTGAGTACATCTTGCCAACTCTATTTTGCTCACCAAGGAAAGGCGCAGCTTGCCTGGTGTAAGCTGTGAAATGAATGCCTGTTCACTGTATAACCATCAAGGATTCACCTCGTACTTCACACAATGCTCTTGCCTGACAGTACCACTACATCTCACTTTTCTCCCGAAGGCCTTGGTACTAAAATCTTTCTACCACGCAGTGTATCTAAAGTCCACCCAGCCACAACTCGACGCTGATACGATCGACGATGACGACGCCTACCCCTACCCCGATCACACGCGGCGGCATGCAGCCCGTCCCTTTGCCATGGCTAACAGCCCTGCTCAAACCGCGTGTCAAAGACTTCATAGGCGTTCACACGCATATCCTGCGGCCTATAGCTATGGTCGCACATGACGCTTCGAAAATTCGACTCACCCCCACCGGGGAGATTCACCCTCAAGCCCACACCGACCTAAAGGATTTTTACTACAATGACGTACACTTCGGCACTGCTCCTAGCGAAATAAGACGCCAACTACTTCAAATACCAATTGAAGACTTCTTCGATTTGTGCGTGCGCGAATTGGTCAATGCGGAAGATGGTCATGAGGATAAGAAGAAGGACCGGAACGACCGCCTTTGGTTTATTATAAGCTGTGCGACGCATCCCGAAGCGGACGTTGATGGAACGTTGGGGCCTGAGCTGTGGAAGTACTACGAGTGGACGACTTGGTGGCCCAAATACGAGCAATCACCAGTTCATCGTAGCTCCACGTTTGAATTGCAGAAGGAGGCAGTCGAAGAAGAAGACACCGTTATGTGGCCCGGGCTGACATGGTTTCTCGAAGACGAGATACGCATCCAAGATGGGTACGCCGCGGAAAACATCGAGCGTGTCATCAAGCACTTTCTCTGGCTCTTACTGAACACCATCGACGTTCACCTCGTCGATCATCGACTGGGCCTTAGTGATCGATATCCCGACGAAGAGACCGCGAGCGTGCTGCAAGAAGGTTATGATGTGCTAAATCGGTCTTCGAAGTTAGTGCTGCGGAATCCCTTTTCAGACATCCCCAAGCCTGTGCGTAAGGCCTTGGCGAAGCTCAATACCAGGGGTAACATCGAGTACGTCGGAATGTGCCCTCTACATGCTCTCTACCATGCTGTCCCACCGGAGCTCTTGCATGCATCCGCGTACATTTACTTCCTCCATTGGGCCTTGGCCGAGGTCGATCATTTGAAAGCAGACCCAAACGGCACCATACGTGCAAACCTGCTGAAGCTGCACATGGTGGGTGCACCAGAGGGGACTAGAAGCGATTGTAGACATTCCTGGACACGCCCTGCAGGTATGGGCGACGTGGTTACCGAACAGCTCGAAGCCCACGTGAATCGCTATTTCGACGATGGCCCTGGTGCGGACGTTCCATTAGAGCCGACCGGACCGCGCATTGATTCCGACGGGCTGTGTGATGTGGTGAGCACGCCAGAAGCAACCGAGCGCTGCCCAATATGCCTTGAAGATTACGCGGACGTTGACAACGTGTGCGTGCAGCTAAAGGCTTGTGCGCATCTACTACATCGTGGATGCTTGGATGAATTGGTGAACGGGGTGTATCCCGGAGTTCCTGAGATCAGATGTCCGGCATGTCGGAGAGGTATATGTAAAGCCCGCGACTATACCGCAGTGCTGGACAATGAGGTTCGAGATGCAGCTTCATAGCTGACAGAGTGTGGAGATTGTGGAATCGCTTGAGTAGGACGTTGGATGTAGACGCTGGTGCTGACAAGTATTTTGTGCATCATATGCTATCGCAAGCTAGAGTATTAATGCAAGAATGATGAGGCGACTCCGTCAAGTGAAGGTCCATGCAGGCGAAGTGTTGAGTAAACGGATGGCACGGCGGGGTCGGCTTGGCGTCATGTGACTGGGTGCAATAGTATTTTTGCGGGTTAGCGCAATGACACGGCAGCAAGGGCATGATCGCCGCAGGGCAGCAACGCCGAAACCTGGAGCGAGGTGAACTGATAGTAACACGACCGTCAAACTCTCGGCGAGCACACACCCAACGAGTGCTCAAGATGAAGAAGCTCGTCAGCAACTCTAAATCACGATGACGCCATGTTGAAGATCTCGGCGAGGGCGTGCAGCCGCCAGCTAGCGGACCGAGACGCTTCAGTCATCATACCTAGGTAGCTAGAGACGCAGCGGCCAGACCAATAGCTGCACTAGCTCACCAGATAGCAACGGAAGGCAAAAGTAATCACCTTTTGCGCAAAGCACTGCTCCAGCGTCTGTTCAATGCGGCGGTCGTGTGTTTTGTCGACTTCCGCTACTCGTCTTTGCGCCGGATGAAATGGCCTCGAACGGGCAACTACTCGCGCATCGCAACTACTACGGGACGACCGGCTATGGCTCACCACCGCCATTCGATACATCACGGCCCAAGCTGAAGCCAGCAGAGCGAGAGCTGGCAGACTTCACGCTTCTCGAAGCCCTCGACCGCGACGACCGCCCTACCTTCGCCGTCGAAACACGCTCGTCCCTAGGCCACGATGAAGCCCACACCATAGAACTCGTGTATGCGAACACGGCGCTTCACACCGTTGGCGGGCTTATGACCAAGATCACAGGCGACGAGTCGACTAGCTTGTTCGCGCAGAGCTCGGGACCACAACTTGCCTTCCGGAATTGGATTCGTGGGCAAGGGATTGAGGAGGACCTGCAACAACACGGCAATACATACACATTCGAAGGGCACGTGTGGAATGCGACAAGTGTGGGGCGCTACAAGATTGTCAGCGGCGTGCCGACGCGACTGCTGTGGGTCGACGCCGCCCCAGGAGGAAAGAGCCACCGCACCCTCCGACGCGAGCGGAAAACACCTTGGCCTGGGAGCAAGCATCGCGCGGATGCACTACCCATCAAGCCCCAGCTGTCGCTTGCCCAGATACCACAGACGCCCGATGCCGACACCAGCTCTTCTGGAAACCGAGGCGCAGTACCGCACACGTCCTTCGATTGTACATCTGATGTACTCACTTCCACGAGCCCACATATCGAGTACTTCCGCAGTGTAGATTGGGCAAGTACACCCCTGGGTCCAATGAGTTCATGGCCTAGTGATCTGCGTTGCGTAGCGAACACAGTACTCAGTAACAACGTGCCAGCCGTCATGTTCTGGGGCGACGATGTCATCATGTTGTACAACGAGCCCTATGTCCAACTCCTTGGCAGCCTCCATCCCTGCATGGGCGAAAGTGTCCGCGTCAAGGCGCCTGATCACTGGGTCTCGTTTCAACCTCTGGTAGACTACATCAAATCAACAGGGGAATCGATAGCCGAACCTGACATGCTCCTCTTCATTGAGAGAGACAAGATCCTTGAAGAGACACACTGGTCTTTCCAATTCGTCCCGATACTGAACACCGACGGCCAAGTGGCAGCCTACTACCAGTTCTTCTACGAAGTTTCCAACCACCGCATCCTCGAGCGCCGCGTCTCTAGTCTGGTCGCAATGGGAACCCAGAGCGCGAATGCCAGAGATTTCCCGTCATTTTGGGAGACGACACTGCGCTCATTGAGCTTGAACGATAAAGATGTGCCATTTGCTTTGTTATATGCTGCCGAGCGGCATGTTAGCGCTCAAATACCTTCAGTATCATCACCCGGTAGCATTCCTCCGTTAGAAGGCTGCGTTCTCAAGGGTACAATTGGCGTTTCAGCTGACCATTCGATCGCCCCCGCGACTATCAATATCAACGAAGACTCTTATATCCTCCAGCCGTTCCTAAGTCGTGCCGCCAAGTCCGGGAAAGCGACCGTTGTTCACGTCGAGGACCTTCCCGATCCAACAAGGGCCTTGCAAGGCATCGAATGGAAAGGATATGGTGACCCTTGTCGCACCCTAGTCATCTGTCCAATAATACCCACCACTGGAAACCAGGTAG